CAGCCTCGGCGGCAACTTCATAACCAACATCACGGCCTTCGACTTCCACCGCCTGGGGCAGCTCCGACGGCTGGACCTGCAGTACAACCAGATCCGCTCTCTGCACCCCAAGACTTTCGAGAAGCTTTCGCGGCTGGAGGAGCTCTACCTGGGGAACAACCTCCTGCAGGCGCTGGCCCCGGGCACGCTGGCCCCGTTGCGCAAGCTGCGCATCCTCTACGCCAACGGGAACGAAATCGGCCGCCTCAGCCGCGGCTCCTTCGAGGGCCTGGAGAGTCTGGTCAAGCTGCGGTTGGACGGGAACGCCCTGGGGGCGCTGCCCGACGCAGTCTTCGCCCCCCTGGGCAACCTGCTCTACCTACATCTGGAGTCCAACCGGATCCGCTTCCTGGGCAAGAACGCCTTCTCCCAGTTGGGCAAGCTGCGCTTCCTCAACCTCTCTGCCAACGAGCTGCAGCCCTCCCTGCGCCACGCGGCCACCTTCGCCCCGCTGCGCTCCCTCTCCACCCTCATCCTCTCGGCCAACAGCCTGCAGCCCCTCGGGCCCCGCGTCTTCCAGCACCTGCCACGCCTGGGCCTGCTGTCGCTCAGGGGCAACCAGCTCACGCACCTCGCACCGGAGGCCTTCTGGGGGCTGGAGGCCCTGCGCGAGCTGCGCCTGGAGGGCAACCGGCTGAGCCAGCTGCCCACCGCGCTGCTGGAGCCCCTGCACAGCCTGGAGGCGCTGGACCTTAGCGGCAACGAGCTGTCCGCCCTGCACCCCGCCACCTTTGGCCACCTGGGCCGACTGCGCGAGCTCAGTCTGCGCGACAACGCTCTCAGCGCCCTCTCCGGGGACATCTTCGCCGCCAGCCCGGCCCTTTACCGGCTGGATCTAGACGGCAACGGCTGGACCTGCGACTGCCGGCTGCGAGGCCTGAAGCGCTGGATGGGCGACTGGCACTCGCAGGGCCGGCTCCTCACTGTCTTCGTGCAGTGTCGCCACCCCCCGGCCCTGCGAGGCAAGTACCTGGATTACCTGGATGACCAGCAACTGCAGAACGGCTCTTGCGCGGGTCCCTCGCCCTCAGCTGCCCCGGCCGCCGACGGCTGGCGGCGGCCCCTACCCACATCCGCGGGGGAGAAGATGACGCCCCCTGCGGGTGGCTTCGCGGGGGAGCCGCCACCTCAGCCGCAGCCCCAGCAGCGGGGGCGATTTCTAGCAGGGGCGGCCTGGGATGGGGCTGCCAGGGAGCTCCTGGGCAACCGCAGCGCCCTAAGGCTGAGTCGGCGGGGCCCGGGCCTCCAGCCGCCCGGCCCCTCCGTCGCTGCCGCCGCGGGCCCGGCTGCACATCCCCTGGATTTGCACGAGAAGCCCCGGCCGGGACGCCCGACCCCGGCGGATCCCGCCCACGCGGGGCCCA